GGGGGCCACACAGTCAGGGGTGGAAGGGGCCACGAGGCCAGAGGGCCCAGGCTTGCTGGCGGGGGGGGGGAGACACCCCCCTCTGCTCTCCTTCCCTGGCACACTTTGCCCCGGGAGGTGCAAGGATGTCATGAAACATGGCAGCGCTTGTGGCTCCACCCCAATTCCACACACCAGCCAAGAAAGAGGCTGCTCCTGGCCCCAAAACGGATCGGGCCCCAAATCAGCACTGCCAACGCTCCTTCGTGAATGAGGTCACAGAAACGGTTTCACCGCGGGGCAATCCCTTGCTTTTTGCATTTCATTCCCTCACCGCTTGCATTCTCCATGCGTCCATTACTATGCACCTGCCCACTGAGGAGGGCGCTCTGCGCATGTGAGGAAGTGGGGGCTAATTGGCCACTGGAAAAGGTGTGTGCAAACAACAAGCACGACCGCTGCCTCTCCCCTTCCAAGGCATCCCAAAGGGAACAGCTCTCCAGCCCATCAGACCCTGCTCAGGGCGATGGCAGCTCCCTACAAGGGGGGGGGGGAGATTGGGGGGCAGAGAGAGTGACCGGCCGCGAGTCAGACCAGGGCAGTGGGCCTCCTTGTCCAGCATCCTCCTCCTGCCCCAGGGAAGCTCCCAAGCAGGGAGCTTGGGAGCTTCCCTGGGGCAGGAGTTTCCTCCTGCTCTGGAGGCTTTGGCCCAGTAGACCGGAAGGAGCGTCTCCACCCCGGACACCGGGGTCCATCTCCCGAGGGCCTTCTGGGGCTTCCCTCCCTGTGAGAAGTGAGGTTACAGGGAACCAGGCAGAGGGCCTTCTCGGTGGTGGCGCCCGGCCTGTGGAATGCCCTCCCACCAGGAAGGAAATAAACAACCGCCTCACTTTTAGAAGACATCTGAAGGCAGCCCTGTTTAGGGAAGTTTTTTATGACTGATGTTTTAATGTATTTTTAATCTTTTGTTGGAAGCTGCCCAGAGTGGCTGGGGAAACCTAGCCGGTTGGGCAGGGTATAAATAAATAAGTTGTTTATTATTATTATTTATTATTATTATTATTATTACTACTACTACTATTATTAAAGCACTAGTCCCAGTCCAGCTACCCCTTGATTCTCTCTGCTGGGGGAACTGTCCATCTCTTCCTACTCTCTCCTTCCTGTTCCTAAAGAAGCTACTCAGAGAGAGATGGAGGGAGGGAAGGAGAGAGAGAGGTTCTGCAGCACCAGGTCAGCAAGCACAGGGGAAATCTCAGAGCAATGCCTGCCTGCTCTGGCCCAGCTCAGCGCCTGCCCCAAAGGACATTGCATGGACCCCCCAGACACCCTGGGCACTCACCCAGGTCAATGGCAACATCCCCGTCGCCCACATCCGAGGAGGAGCTGGTGCTCTCCAGCGCAGGACCTTCGAGGGGCCCAGGCAGCGCCGGGTGCAGGGAGTAGTTGTGGTCGGACTGGACACTTTCAGAGCCGGCGGGGCTGCCAGTGGGGGACCCCTCCCAGCTTCCAGGGCTGCAGGAGAAGTTCTGCTCTTCAGCAAGGCTGCTGCTGCTGCTGTGAGGAGGGGAGGGGTCCGGCGAACCGCTGGACTCTTCTGCAAAAGGGCTCAGGAGGCACCTCAGAAAGTCGTCCACCTCCTCGCCCAAGGCCTGGAGGGAAAGGAGGTCATGAGGCGGGGGGGGGGCTGGAGCAGCAGCAACCCCACCCCTGGCTTGCCCAAGGCAGCTGGCACTCACCCCGGGCCCTGGAAAGTCCCAGTCTTCTGGCAGGAAGCCTCCCTTGCCCAGATCAGCTGAGGGACCTCCGTCCTGGAGGAGGAAGTCAAGGAGATCCTCATCGGCCAGAGAAGCCATTTCCTCTGGGCACAACATCTGGAGGGAGGGAGGGAGACGGAGGGTGTCAGGGTCAGGCAGAGGGCCAGGAGACCCCAAGGAAGACAGATTATTTATTTGAACATGTACTCCACTTGTTTGCTCAGAAAAACTCAACCTCAGCTTTACAAAAAGATAAAACAAGAAAATCAAGAAAAAATTACAAGAGCACTTTAAAAATACAGAAAGTTAAAATATTAAAACTGGTTAAAATTCACATCAACTTTCTAAGCATTTTCAGGGTAGGCTTGTCAAAAAAAGAATGTTTTTAGCAGGCTCCAAAAAGAGTACAAGGCACCTGCCGGATATCAATAGGCAGGGAGTTCCAGGGTGTAGATGCTGCCACACTAAATGACTGACTGCTGAGGAAAGCAGAAGGGGTATCATGTAGTGCCAATTCCACCAATGGGCAACGGCCATTGTTACATGAAAAACTGAGGTTAGATTTCGCAGTCCAGCTCCCCATTAAGAGAGTCCCCAATGTCCATGAATGGTCAGAGAAGGAGGACTGGAGGCAGGACCCAGTCTAAGCAGGCAGATTTTTATTTTTCTATTGCAACAGAGCCCCCCCCCCCCACTTTACAAGGAGGTGAGGACGACCCAGAACAAAGGTGAATAACAGCTTTTAAAAGCTTCCCTCAACCCCTTAAGCCAGTGTTTCCCAACCTTTTTTGGGCAAAGGCACACTTGTTTCATGAAAAAAATCTCGAGGCACACCACCATTACAGCCCCGTGACGTCAGCGCGCAGCGTCACGCCGGGAGGGACATGAATTGCTAGCAAATTACATAATCACCTCCTTGAGGGCTGGCTCATCTTCTCCGAAGGCAGAACCCCATTAATTAACAGCACAGACTCACACCATAGCCAAGACGAGGGGGGAAAACCTCAGTCATGCACAGTCATGCACATGTGGGGGCTAAATGAGGACGAAGACCGGGCAGAGAGCAGGGTTCAAATCACCCCACCTGGCCAGGACAATCCCTGGGTGCTCCCTTGGGCCACTCGCCTGACCCACCTCGCAGGGCTGTTGTTGCGAGGATAACACGGGGAGAACCACGCGCGCCCCCGGGAGCTCCTTGGAGGAGAAAGCGGGCGATGAATGCAATGCACGAAATATATGAGAGGCGACCAGGTTTTGCAGGTGAGGGGCCCCCGCCAGCCTCCGCTTCCAACACCCGGCGCAACGACGTCGAAGTTTCCCCCCGGGCTTGGCTCGGGGAGCAGCGCTGCTCCCCCCCGGCTCCCCTTCGCCCTTCCGGCTCTCTCTGCCGCCCACTGGGGACCCCCCTCACCTGCCAAGTCCGGAGCGCCGGTGGAAGTTGCATGCATGCATGCAGGGCGCCGCGTTGCCATTGCATTGCACTGCACTCCATGCAACGCCTGCACGCATGCATTGCCTTGCACGCCCGCCAAGGGGTCTCCCCGCGGTCCGATGCGTCCCCTCCGGCGCGGATGCAGCATTGCAAAAATAAAACCCCCCCGACGCAGCCCTACCTGGGGGGCAGCCTCCGCCTCCGCCGCTCCGCCTCCGCGGGGATCCCCGGTCTCCATCCTGCCGCCCGATCTCCGCGGGGGCGCAGGCAGGCTGCGCGGGGTCTGTGCGGAAGAGCCCCTGCCCGCCCGGCCGCCGCCGCCGCGCTCATTCCATGGCCGGGAGAAGAGCGCTTCAAACAAAACGCCCGGCCCGCCAGGAAACGTAGTTCGCGCACCCCGCGCGGGCGCGGAGCCCAAGGGCAAGGGGACTACGGATCCCGGCAGCCCCCGCGCCGGGGACGGAGGGGGAGAGGCCGGGTGCAGGGATGGAGGGACGGGTGGGCGAGCGAGTGAGTGAGTGGCAGCCGCCAAGCCTTGGCCGAGAGCCAGGAAGGGCCTCCCCGGAGGAGGAGGAGGAGGAGGGAGGCGCAGAGCGGGAGGGAGGGAGGGAACCCCAGGGGTCATCTAGTGACGGCGCCCCAATCGAAAATTTGACTTTTAAAAAAAAAATCTTTCAATTTTTTAATTTTTCCCGCGGCACACCAGGCAACATCTCGCGGCACACTAGTGTGCCGCGGAACAGTGGTTGGGAAACACTGCCTTAAGCAAAACCCACTAAAAGAACCATACAAGCATCACAGAAAGAGAAATTTGAGAGTGTAGCTTGTCTCCTGCCTGTCAACATTTACTGACTCCCTTTCCCTGGCCAGCCTTATTTTGAAATGGTGAATACCTTGACTCCAGAACCTGTTTTCACACATCATGCAGAGTTATCAATACCTCTAAAACCAGTTTTACAGAGAGAGGAGGCTCAGGAACCATTTCCTGCTTTGTGACTGACAAAGGTGACACTCGGCTGCCGTATTGCTCTCTGTCTATTCCACCTCAGGTGTTACCGGTAAAAGTGATATTGCACCAAGTTATGTTGCAAAGTCCATTTCCACAACAGCTCCTATTGCATTACCTGGAGTTGCATGCAGAGGCTGTGGTGTTTTGTCGACAAGGGCAGAGGAGCGACGCCTAGAGGCCAAGGTCCCTTCAGCCCCCCCCAATATTTTTTTTTAGGCCAGGCACCCCCAAAGTTAATGGGCATTGCCATTCATATGGTGTGCATGCACTGCGTCATAATTCTGTGGGACGGGGCTTACCTGGGTGTGTGTCCCCCCCCCAAAAAAAAATTCCAGTTGGCACACCTGGGCATGTGTATTTGCAAATGCACTCATTCCTGTATGTTTATAACGGCACATCATTAATTTCCATAACATTGTCAGACGCAGACAGCTTGGGCACCTGAGGTTGTGCCCCAGAGATCTGGAGGGTGAGCTCTCTCTTTCTCACACACACACACCCACCCCGTCCTGCCACCACAGAGGCAGCTGTGCAGAGGAGGAGCGGATGAAAAGCAGGAGCCTGCAGGGAGGGGGCTTTGGGCTCCCCCCATTTTGCTTACCTGTCCTCAAGGAGATGCAGAACTGAAGGAAGGCGCTTCTCTGCTGAGTCCCAGCTGGGCAGGTGGGGCACAAAAAGGGTCGTCCTTCACTTCGGCTGGAGGCTTTGAATCCGAGGTCGCGTAGAAACCTGTCAGGGATGCTTTGGTTGTGACCCCTGCATTGCAGGGGGGGTGGGCTAGATGCCCCTCGAGGGTCCCTCCCAACTGCCCACTTCTGTCCCTCTAGGATTCCGCAAAGGCCGAAGGGGCCAGCCGGGCGCTCGCTCCCTTCCCAGGACCAGCAGGTTGCCCAACGGGCTCCGGTAGGTCACCCTTCCGGGCTTGGCTGCCCCCCGGACGTGGGGTTTCGAGCCGAGGCTGCCCTCCCCCTCGGGAACAGGAGCCCCCGTGGGGGCGGCCAGCTGCGCCCCGGCCGGAGCCCGGAGGAGGCGGTGGCAGCCGCCGCCCCGTCGCGGCCGAGGCTGGGGCGCGCCGTCGGGGCCCCAGAGAGGGCGGGGCGGCGCCGGACTCCTGGGTCCCCTGGAGAGAAAGGACCGGGCGGGAGGGGTCCCGGGGGCAGCTCTGCTGGGGACGGGGAGAAGGGAAGCCCCGGGACCCCGACGGGACCCCACCCACCTGCGCGGCCCGCGGCGCCTCCGCTCCGTCTCCTCCGCTCTCCTTCCAACGCAGCAAAAGCGACGTCACTCGAGTGCAGGAACTGGCCGGGGCCCGCCCTCCCCGCGCACTGATTGGCGAAGCGGCGGAGAGGCCGGGGCCGCATTGGCCGAGGCGAGTGTCGCTCGCGGCCGGGAAACCCCCTTCGGCCGGCCGGGCCTGGAGGGGCGGGGCTTGGATCTGCCGTCAGAGGGAGCTCCCTCCCTCGCTCCAGCTCCGCCCGGGGGGGAAGGAAGAGGTTATTCTGGGGCTGAGCTTTGTAATGTTTGAGTTGAAAAGCTGTAAGATAATATTTTAGTTTTCTGCTATGTTGCTTTGACTGTGTACTCTATATTTGACTTCCTTTTTTTATTGATGTTTTGTTGATGTAATATGCTGTAAAGTGCTTTGAGATTTTTCTGAAAAATATAAAGCGGTATAGAAAACTAAACTAAACTAAACTAAACTAAACTAAACTAACTAAACTAAACTAAACTAAACTAAACTAAACTAAACTAAATAAAGGCCACTGCTCCGAGGCAGAGGCTCTGCTCAGCAGACGGAAGGCGGGCTGGCCAGGTCCCCAGCGAGAAAGGCCAGAGAGCTGCTGCCGGCCCGTGTGGGGGACACAGCGGAGCGGGATGGACCCGCGAGGCTTGACTCCGGCAGCTTCCCGCGTGCCCTGCTCTTCGTGGCGCGGGGATTTCGAGGTGTCCACATCTGAAAGCGGTGCATAACTGTCACCTTTCCCCTTTTTTAAAGGGAAATTCCCTTATTCCGAATAGGATTCCTCGCAAGAAAAGGGAGAAGTTGACAGCTATGCAGTGGTGCTTCCTGAACGGCTCTGGGAGAGGCATTCTGCCAGGGATGCGGCTCAGCACCTTGATCCAGAAATCCCTGCAGCAAACGGAACCGAGAACTCCGATGCCCACAGGCTCTTAGGGTGTTCAGTGAATCCCCGAAAGGACTGTGCCCTAGAACCGGCCAGAAAGGGGGCGACACTGGACTTCACATTGTGCGGCCCCCAGGACTAGGTGTGAGATGGGTTGATGCTGAGCCAATCTGGAGTGTGACAACTTTGTTTTGCTTGGGGGACAAACTGAAGCCTGATTTCTATGCAGCAGAAACGGAGCCGGACAGTTCAGTTTTTCACTTGAGTTTCCTCTGTAACAGCTGTGGAAGCAGTGCCAGATTACTAAGTAGGCCAGGCTTCCTCAACCTCGGCCCCCCAGATGTTTTGAGACTACAATCCCCACCATCCCTGACCACTGGTCCTGCTAGCTAGGGATCATGGGAGTTGTAGGCCAAAAACATCTAGAGGGCAGCCGAGGTTGAAGAAGCCTGAAGTAGGCAGAGTGGGCACTGGCCTAGGGGCCCCATGCCTTCTAGGGGCTCCACAACCACAGATCAAAAGAATACTGATTTGATCTTGAAAGGAAATTACAAAAACGTAGTAGAATATAATTGGGGAGGGGGCACGATCTCTACTGCCTAGTGGCCGTCACATTGGAGGGGAGTTAGCCAGTCAGATGGGAAGCATATAAATAATAAATTCTTCTCTCTGCACTCCTATAATAATAAATGCAGCGGTGCATCTGCATTAGCACAACCAGACGCCTTCCTCTGCCCCAGCTACATAAAAACATGTCTCTCCCACATGGGTCTCTACAACCACAGCAGGAGCTGTAACCTTCGCCCAGTTTGACTTCATCCCCAAAGACGCCTTTCTCCTCCATTGTCTCCTGAGACAGATGCCAACATCTGGATAGAAGTTATGCAGGCACGGGTGGCACAGTGATCTAAACCACTGAGATTTGGGCTTACTGATCATAGAATCATAGAGTTGGAAGAGACCACAAGGGCCATCGAGTCCAACCCCCTGCCAAGCAGGAAACACCATCAGAGCACTCCTGACATATGGTTGTCAAGCCTCTGCTTAAAGACCTCCAAAGAAGGAGACTCCACCACACTCCTTGGCAGCAAATTCCACTGTCGAACAGCTCTTACTGTCAGGAAGTTCTTCCTAATGTTTAGGTGGAATCTTCTTTCTTGTAGTTTGGATCCATTGCTCCGTGTCCGCTTCTCTGGAGCAGCAGAAAACAGCCTTTCTCCCTCCTCTATGTGACATCCTTTTATATATTTGAACATGGCTATCATATCACCCCTTAACCTCCTCTTCTCCAGGCTAAACATGCCCAGCTCCCTTAGCCGTTCCTCATAAGGCATCGTTTCCAGGCCTTTGACCATTTTGGTTGCCCTCCTCTGGACACGTTCCAGTTTGTCAGTGTCCTTCTTGAACTGTGGTGCCCAGAACTGGACACAGTACTCCAGGTGAGGTCTGACCAGAGCAGAATACAGTGGCACTATTACTTCCCTTGATCTAGATGCTATACTCCTATTGATGAGGCCCAGAATTGCATTGGCTTTTTTAGCTGCCGCGTCACACTGTTGGCTCATGTCAAGTTTGTGGTCAACCAAGACTCCTAGATCCTTTTCACATGTACTGCTCTCAAGCCAGGTGTCACCCATCTTGTATTTGTGCCTCTCATTTTTTTTGCCCAAGTGCAATACTTTACATTTCTCCCTGTTAAAATTCATCTTGTTTGTTTTGGCCCAGTTCTCTAATCTGTCAAGGTCATTTTGAAGTGTGATCCTGTCCTCTGGGGTGTTAGCCACCCCTCCCAGTTTGGTGTCATCTGCAAATTTGATCAGGATGCGAGGTTGGTGGTTCAAATCCCCGCGATGGGGTGAGCTCCCATTGTTCAGTCCCTGCTCCTGTCCACCTAGCAGCTTGAAAGCATGTCAAGTGAAAGTAGATAAATAGGTACTGCTCTGGCAGGAAGGTAAACGGCATTTCCATGCGCTGCTCTGGTTCACCAGAAGCTGGCCACATGACCCAGAAGCTGTCTGTGGACAAACGCTGGCTTGAGATGAGTGCCGCAACCCTAAGAGTCGCCCACAACTGGACCTAATGGTCAGGGGTACCTTTACCTTTTAGACATATTATCAAAAATGATACAAGGCAGTGTGTGGCTCACATCTGAGCATACTAAAAGTTTCAATGTTAAACGTAGTATATGCTTTAAATATATAACTAATCTACAAAGGTGGATTGGTTAACTCAGGCCGATTTAATGTTTTATTTTTATAAGGAGACATGAGCGTCTTGTTGCAAGATAGGGAGTGGGTAATAGCAGTGTCTGGTATGCAGATCTGGCCTGTCTCCAAAAAATGTTACCAAAATAGAGAGATGCCTTTTATTCCAGTGTGAACAAGTCTAATTGTGTTGCATTAGGGTAAGGAATACCAGCCTATTCCATGGCCTCTGAAACCAGCCAATATAGGTGCAAAAAATGTTTGCAGAAGTGGGAATATTTGCTGCAGAAGAAGTGATCATACCACTGTTAAATTAAATCTACATGTAAATGGCCAATTGCTAAGAAAATCCAACGCAGTCACATTTGATTTCAAAAAGGAAAATTCCCCAGAATGAGAAGGCTGGTAAAAAGGAAGTTGAAATGTGAAGTCAAGAAGGTCAAATCACTCCAAAATGCTTGGGAGTGTTGTTGTTTTTTTAACACAGTATTAGAAACTCAAGAGGAGTGTGTACCACCGATCAGGGAACATACCACAAAGACCAGTCAAATAAACTATGAGAGGCAAGAAAGTGTCCCTTAAAAAATTGGAACTGTTGTCCAAATGAATAGAGCAGAAAAAGAACACAAAACTCTGGCCAAAAAAGAGCAAGCAGACAGTAAAAGGTGCCTTAAGAAAAATCTTTTGAGGAGCATGTTGCTAAAAGCATTAAGACCAACAAGAAGAAGTTCTTTAACAAGCATCCATGTAGAGGTGATCCAGTTGACATCGGGTCCTTGGACTTTCAAAAAGCTTTTGACAAAACCCCTCACCAAAGACTCCTGGGTAAATTTAGCAGCCAAGGAATAGGAAGAGAAATTCTCTTGGGGATCAGAAATTGGTTAGTTGCAGGAAGAACAGTCCAGCTTTTTAACTGGGTCGTTGACCAGACAGAAGGCTTTCCCACACACATATTTAATGTTAATCACTCAAAGGCCTGGCTCCTACATATGGATCATGAAGGCACCAGCTGAACCTCCTTGGGGAGAGCATTCCCCCAAACGGAGAGCCAAGGCCTGTTCTGGTGTTGCCTTCTCTGATCCTCTCGAAGGAGGAGGAGGATGGCAGAGCCTGGGTCCCTTCCTGGGGGGAGAGGCGGCCCTTCAGGTCTTGAGGCTTGTAAGCTGCTTCTTCCTTTCTTTGGTGATCCTCCTAACTGAGTAAGATTGTATCCCATGAACATGGTCCTAGCTGCGAGTCTGTAAGTGACTGTGGAGGTCAATTCTGGATCCATGCATCCTTCCACAGTGGGGACATAGGTTTCCAGGCAGGAGTTGATCACGGTGAGGGTTTGCCAAGCATGCCTTCCTCTTAGCACCTTTCTCCCTTGAGTCCTGAGTTCGAGTGTCTTCAAAGTCCATGACATCTCAGTTGGTGCGCTCATAGGCCAGTGTTTCCCAACTGTCAGTGTTTATACTACATGTTTAAAGATTGGCCTTGAGAGCATCTTTAAACCTTTTGTTGCCCACCAGTACAGTGGTACCTCAGTTTAAGTACTTAATTCATTCCAGAGGTCCGTTCTTAACCTGAAACTGTTCTTAACCTGAAGCACCACTTTAGCTAATGGGGCCTCCCGCTGCTAGAGCATGATTTCTCTTTCTCATCCTGAAGCAAAGTTCTTAACCCAAGGTACTATTTCTGGATTAGCAGAGTCTGTAACCTGAAGCGTATGTAACCCGAGGTCCCACTGTATTTCGCTTTCCATTCTTGAGTTGGGATTAGAGTAGCTGCTTTGGAAGACGAGAATCAGGCACCCGCACATGACCAGTCCCACGAAGTTGATGTGGAAGAACAATTGCTTCGACGCCGGTGCTCCTTGCTTCTTCCAGGACACTGGTGTTCGGCTTGTAAGCACCTCTGTCCAGAAGGACATGCGATGGCCTTTGTTTGCTGAATTTGGCCCTGTCCTCAGCTGAGAGGGGCTTCTCCCCTGCCTCCGTCGCCGACGCCTTTCCGTCCCTACCGGACCCGAGCCTTCCCACGCGTTGCTCTGGGCTCCCCAAGACGCAGCCAGACACGTGTCTGGGGAGGGAGCGACCCGGGGAGAGCCTGCTCCGCCTCTGCTCAGCGCACTGAGGCTTCGTCGCGCCAGCTGATTGGCCGAGGGCGCCGCCACCCGGCGCCCGCACCCAACATGGCCGCGGCGGCTTCCTCTCGGCTCTGCGCCTGCGCCGCGGGCAGACGGGGCGGGCGGCGCTTTTCCCTCGGCCGGGGGGCGGGTCCGGGGGACCCGGAGGAGGAGGAGGAGGAGGGGAGGTCGCGCTCCCGCCCCTCGGCGCTCCTCCCCCAGAAGCCAGTCGCGCCCCGCAGGAGCCGCCGCCGCCGCCGCCGCCGCGTCCCCCCAGGTAGGAAGGCGCCCCCCGCCTCATTCCGGGGGGCGGGAGGCGACTCTCTTTCCCTTCATCCGGAGAGGAGTTGGGGGGCCGAGGAGGAGCAGACCCCCCCCGGGGGTGCCTTCGGGAGCGGGGCGGGCGGGGAGGGAGAAAGAAGAAGTCGAGCGGCGGCGGCGACGGGGCGGCGTCCGGGCTCCGTCGGGTCTGGCTCCGCCGGCGGGTCCCTTCCCGCTCCGCGCGACTCCTCCCTCGGCCCGCGGGTGCCCCAGTGCCGCCGCCCCGGCCGCCTCCCGCTCGCGTGCCAGGCGCATCCCGGCCGCCTCTGGGCGCAGCGCGGCTGGGGCAGGGCAGGTCCCGCCCTCCTGGCTTCCTGCCCGACGGCTTTCCCGTAGCCTCGGGGCCGGGCCCAGGCGGGCTCCGCCGCCCTCGGGAAGAGCTCTCCGGCGGGGAGGAAGGGTCTCTGCCCCGCGGGGCACGGGCGGGGGGGGAGGACGGGGCGGCGCGTGGGCGCGGGGCGAGGCTCCGAGCGGGACGGGGCGGGCGGAGACCGCCTCCCGGAGGGTCTCGGCTTCCTCCTGCTCGGGCCGGTCCCGGCTGCTTGCACGTGACTTCCAGATGTGCGCAACCCTCCACCACCTCGTCGGGGCTCCCTCGCCCGGGAAGCGGAGGGTTGCCGCCTGGGCTTGGGCGCGGCCCTCGAGGGCGCCCCTTGGGCAGGAAGTGAATCAGGCCCGGCCGGGTTCCGCCCCGGCGAGCGGCAGGCTGCCGCTCTGCAGAGTCTCCGGCGGGCGCCGCTTCCCTCCCCGCAGCCCGGCCGGCCCTTCGCTCGCCACGGTCGGCCTCGCAGCCGTCGAGGCCCCGCTGCCTGTCGGGCTTTTGCCTTCGGCGGGCTGCGCGCGAAACGGGAGCGCGGAGGCGGAGCGCGTGGCTTGGCGAAGTGCCGCGGCCAGTCCTGCTCCCGCCTTTCCTCCGACGGCGCTGCTTCCCCGACGCTTTGCAGCCGCTTCTGCAAGGCTCTCCCGTTAGGCTGAGTCGCTCCCGACTCGCGGGGCTGCGCGCCCGGCCCTGGACGGTGCGGGTCCCACTTTGGCGACCCTTGGCCGGCGCTTCCAGGGCAGAGCTGCCCTCCTGTTCCTGGGCGTGGGGCGCCTTCCTGGCATTCCGGACAGACGTGGAAGTCCTTCTGGTTCTCTAGCCTTCAGGCCGGACTTTCTGCCCCTGTTGGTTCCCTGCACCTTCAGAGATCCGCACTCAGCTGCTGCTGGAGCCCTTTCCGCTCACTCTTAGTAGCCCCTCGCACTGAGCCACCACCAGCTACTTATTCCCCGGGCGGGGTCTGCAGGGGAAATCGGAGCTCCCCCAGCCCCAAAAAGCTCCTTCCCAACGGAAGAACAACCACCAGCAGTTTGCCATCTTTCTTTACCGCAGGGAAACAGATTAAAAGTTGGTTCCCCTTTGCTCCTTTCTTAATGGAGTAAAGTTGTAGCTGTTTGTTCCTTGCTCTGTGTTGATGCCCCTCTGTTTTTCCGGCCTGCTCTCTGCCTGATGCGAGTTGCTAAATTAATCATTTCCTCATTTGTAGTGCGGTTCTCATGTCTCCGTTTTTGTCTTTGGGGAGCTCAGAAGCTACAGCAGCCTCTCTTTGCTGGGACCCTCACAGCTGCCCCCCTGAGCCACTCCGCAGCCTGCAGTTGTCCCCCTCCCCACCTGGGCCTCTGTGCCCTCCTTGCTCCCTCCAGAGGGGAGCCTGCTGATCCCCTAAGCTGTTTGTGACATGTGTCCTGCGCAGGCTGGCTGGTGCTCTGATCCCAGAACAAGGTGGCGATTGTACCCAGAGGCGGAGGCCCCGTGGGGTGTAAGATGCAGGCAGACACCCCCCCACTCCCTGCTCCACTTAAAGGGCAGCCTGGCTCCAGAGAATAGGGCTCTCTGTCTCTCTCGCCCCTGAGCTTGCCCCATGGAGACCCTGAGGCAGGTTGGGGCTGGGTGGGCACAGCAGCAGAGGGGCCCCCTGAGCTCTGGGGCCCTTGCTCCTTGGCTGGGCTCGGCCCTCGTGTGGGGATGACCTTCTGGGCTTCTGCTTCAGAGCAGGCTGGCCTGGCACCACCTGCACTTTCCGTGGCAGGAGAAGGTGGGTGGCAGCTGATGGCGAGGTCTAAAGGGGCAGCTGGAAAGGGACCCACAGTGGTGGCCGGTGTGTAGGGCAGAATCATGGCCCCTGGGCTGCGCCCCCCACAAGCCTAGTGGGAATGCATCCAGCCTGTGAAGAATGAGGACCCAGGACGTTTTGTGTTTCTGGGGCAGGGGGAGAGACTTGTGGCCTGGGGGGGGCGGCCTTCAGAGAGCAGAGATTGTTGTGGGCCTGGCAGGGAGCAGGAGAAGGGCCTGGGCCCAGTTCTTTGATTTGCCTGAGGGTGTTGTGTGTGGAAATGCCAATATTGATATGAGTGCAACTTCCTCCCTAGAAAATCGATTTGTGCCTATGAAGCCCCCTTGAGAAGGATGGACCTGCTTTTGCACCACGTGCCACCACCTCTTCAGGGCAGGTTTTGCACTGAGTCACCGGCATGGGGGGCCCTCTTTCCGTGGTCCTCTGCATCGACTGCCTGGAGGAGGCTGGAAGGCTGTGGGGCTCCTGCCTCTGTGGCTGGCCGGCTACAAATTCCATATTTGGTAGCAGTCATTGTTTACGCCTCGGATTGCAAGGGGGGGGGCGAGGAGGGTGAATGTTTTCAGGCTGCAGAGCTTCCCTCTCCGTGCTGGAATCTGCTCTTTGCCTGGAAGGGCTGCGATGAGGCTGGACAAGAACGAGACTGGCTGCAGGTCTCATCAGTGGAACCTGCTACAGGGTTTTTCAAAAGGGGGGTTGGGGCGGGAATCAGCAGTTTGCCAAGAGATTTCCCAAGTGTTTGACACTTTTTCCTGCCCCTTCTGCCCCCTTCCTGTGCTCCTGGCAAACTCAGAAGCAGGTGGGCTTTGTGGCAGGTGGGTGAGGGGCCTCTTGCTCGGCTGCTTGCCCTCTGGGAACCCCCTCCTCTGACTTCCTGGCTCCCCTGGTTCCCTTTTCCCACGCTCAGAAACGGCAGACTATGATTATTTTAAGAAATGAAAAAAATACTTGTGAGCTGACGTTTTGTTACAGTGAGTCTTGGGACACTGCAGAAGAGGCTTCCCGGCTTGGCTTCACTTCCTTCCCTTTGAAAAGATTTGACACACATTTTTCACGGTTCATCTTCAGGTTGTGGCGCTTGAGTAGACTTGGAGAGAGTCTGCCCCAGCTCTGAGGATGGTGCAGTGCAGTTGTAGTGCCCAATTAATTCAGGGGAGTTTGCTCTCAAGTGTGGTGACCCTGTTTAGGATGGCAGCCCTGGTCTTTCTGAGCAGTTGCCTAAGCCTCTTCCCCGTCCGCTCTTTGCCCTGAGTTAAAGGGCTGCAGAAGTTCCCTCTGGTGCCTTTTGCAGAAATGGACTGTCTGAGCAGACCAGCAGGCAGAAGTGAGTCTTCAGGGGAAAGAGCTCTGGAGATCCTGTTTCTGAGAGTCTGGAATCTCCCAGCAATCTTTTCCGGCCGTCCAGGCTGAGCCTCCTTTCCCCGTGCCTGCCAGGCTGGCGGATGAGGTGTTGGGGGGCAGGTCCAGTGGCTTTGTTCCAGCCGGTGCCAAGCTGTATCCCCCCCATCCCGCCCCCCATGCCTCATGTCTTTCCTTCTCTCCCTCTTTGGGAAGTTAGGTGGGCAGCTCCTTGAAGCCCCCACAGCCCTGTTTAGTGAAAAGGGCTGGGGTTCAACAGCATCATCTCCGCCAGTGGTTTTAAATTAAAAACCATGGACTGTATTCAGAGTAGACCCACTGAAATGAAGAAACTCTTCATTTTGGTAGGTCTGCTCTGGGGCTCTGTCTAAAGCTTTATTTTACCACATTAAACAGTCCTGCCTGCAATGGATCCTTGCACTGTAGTATTTTAAAAAATATTATTTATTATTTTTTCTCAAAAAAAGAGAAAACTTTACACATTTTAACATAAACCCTAAGTTACTTTATCTATTGACTTCCTGTCCTCTTCCATGGTTTCCATATTTACCCTTAAATGCTGCACATTTCCCTTATTTAATGCACCCAATTTAACCTATTTGTCTTAATAATTCATGCTGTTGCTCATCTTGCAAGTCCTGCTCGCTTTTTCATTTTGCTATAGCAGTTCTTTAAATACTCAGTAAAAAGCTTCCAGTCCTCAGGAATGTTTTCATCATTTTGGTCTCTGATCTTTGCTGTTAATCTGGCCAGTTCTGCATACTGCATCATTTCCAAAAGCCAACCTTCCTTTCTTGGAACCTCTCCTCCTTTCCACCTTTAGCCATATTGCGTGGTTGTCGCTGTATGGTGGTACCTCAGGATGCGAACGAGATCCGTTCCAGAGCCCCGTTCGCATCCCAAACAGAACGTAAGACACAATAGTGTTTCTGCGCGTGCGCAGGTCGCGTTTCGCTGCTTCCGCGCATGCGCGTGACATCATTTTGACCATCTGCAAGCGGCGAAACCCGGAAGTAACGTGCCAGGTGCAAAATGTTCCTGGCGCCTGGCTAATTTCGAACACTGCTTTGAGAACTGCCAGTCTACAGGTATTTTATGTAAAATGTCATCATAGTAATTAGCGTTCAGGGGCATGTTTGATTGTTGGAATCCCTTAGCCAAGGCCAAGCTGTTGTGGGAGCCTTCCAGGAGAGGGCCGCCCCATCCAGACAGAACTGACCCCTTGGAAAGCTCTTTCTGCTTCCTGGGCATCCAAGGAAATGGAGGAAGGAGAGGAGTGAGAGTCATTTGCGTACTGACGGCATCAGTGTTAGAAACTGGGGTAGAAAAGCTGGTGGCCAAATGGCTCCTGGAACCCAGCTTATGGGCGCAGAAGCAGAAAGTGAGTCACCATGTTGTCCTTTTTGGAAGGGTGACTCGCTCTTTGGTGGGGGCTGTACAGTAGGGATCCTCCTCTGGACTTGGGTGGGGAGGCCTTTCTCCTTCCGCACCCTCAGCTCCCGCCTGGTGACTCGCAGCAGCACTTCCCTGCACATGCGGCAGTGATTCTTCCTACTCTGGAGCAGGGGGGATAAAAATCAATGATTTTTTTCAAATAAATAAATAAATAAATAATTTTTAAAAAAACATTTAAATTGGATTTTTTCTATTTAAATCAGATTTTTAAAATAAAATAGTTTTGGAGGAAAAATCTTTCTAAAGATAATTTTCCATTTAAGTTACATTATAGTCAAAAGGCTATTCATCGGGAAATAAGGATTTGTTTTAAGTCTTTCATGTGTGCTAAAACTCACTCTAAAGGTTTTTTTTTATTGTTTAACCACATCAGTTAACAAACATGGATACATATGCTATAATGTTATTATTTTAGTTAAATAAATTGTTTAAATTGTTATTAAGGAAATGATTATTTTTCTCCTTCCAATAAAGTACAGCAGAAAAGTTGCCCAAATATAAGCAAAAATTTCCTAATTACCTGTCTTTGTGTTTCTAATAGTATAACCAAATCAGCAATTTTTGATATAACTGTACAAACTACTCTGAAATGTTATTATTCCAAAAATGAAACCTTCATCTGGTTGTAAATATTAAGATTATACCAGCAAGAATGAGTTTCTTTGTAAAAAAATGATTTAAATCAAGTCTTACTGACTAGTGATTTAAATCGTGATTTAAACCAATTTGATTTAAATCAATCCACCCTGCTCTGGAGTTGGGGGGGGGGGAGCCTTTCTCCTCCCATGCTCTCAGCAGCTGCTGCAGCAATTTTATTCTTGAGTCCCAGTCCCAAGACTTCTCAAAGTGCTTGCATTCTGACAATCCCCAGTCGCAAAAGGCACCTGGCTAATTTTGAACCCCGTCTGGCATCCCTGGAGAGAGGCGAAAGGATAGATGGATCCCTGAGGAGTCCTGTAGGGCAGCGGACAGAGGGTCAAGCATCCATCAGGCAGGCTGGCAGCCTCCGCAAGGCTCTGCCTCCAGTCCCCATCCTGAACAGTCTAGAGCCAGTGGCGTCAAAAGCCACGGAGAGATCCAGAAGAACCAACTGTCCGCTTCTGAGCAAAGGCATCCAAAACTTCTTTCCAAAGCCAGGTCTGACTTTGGATAAGTTGGATCCCAAATCCTCTAGAAAGCCGAGAGTTGAGTTGCCACAACCTGCTCAGATAATTTGCCTGGAAATGGCAGTGCTGAAGACCAAGACCGGCTAATAATTATCCAGGAGGGCGGCAAGTCCAGTCTGGATCGCTTGGGCGGACGTCTCATGCCTGCTTCCTTTGCAAGAAATGGTACCATTTAATTTTTAGATAGGTCCTGGCAGCTTCTGCCGCCCCAGGCTGATCGGCCTTGTGGTTTTCACCAACCAGGTCAGGCAGGACGCAAGGCTGGTCTGGAACCTCGGAGCGACTGACTGACACCCGGAGGCTGCATGAGCTGAACTCTCTTCCTCTAAAGAGCATCACTGCGGATCCCATTCCTCCGAATCTGGGGCTTAAATTCAAGCTACTTTGCCAGGAGAGCATGGTGCAAACTGGTCGCAGGAGCCCCCTGGAGATCCTGGCTCTCAGAACCAACAGATCCCTCCCTGGTGTGTGTGTGTGGCCAGAGTTATGCCCTGCAAGTGCTGCTCACCTCCCTCTCCCTCCCATCAACCCCAGCAAGCATGGCAAGCAAGGGGCGGAGGGGGGGGGTGACTCCACCTGCCCATGCAGAAAGCCCCCCCTGGCCAGCCCTGCTCTCAGGTAAATGGAGACGGGGATTTCTCTGCTGCCTTTGTTGCCATGGAGGATTCTCTGACATGGGCTCAAGACAATACTGGGACTTACAGGCGGCTGGTGCTTCGTTCTGATTGGTTGCTGGGCTACTCAGGATCCACTGATGGCAGCGATGGGGGTGGAAGAGAAGGCGGTGGCTGCCTGGGGTGCCCATTCACGCATGTTTGAGTTCCCTTGAGTCGCCCTGTGCCAGCGCATGACTCATCCCAGCCCAGAATGATGGGTCTTCGTTCTCTTTGTGCTCCTGCTTGCCTTCTCAACTCAGCTGTGGTCTTTCATTGATAGGCATTTGCTGTGGTTCCTGTGTTGCCAAGGGTTGGGCTAGATGACCCTCAGGAGTCCTTCCAACCCTCCAGTTCATGTGTGAGTTGCAAGAGCATGGCGGTGTGCTGCTGGGTCTCAAGGAGGAGCC